TGTCCTCTTATCCAACTGACCTTTTAATCATGAGATAGTGGCCTTCTTTGTCTCTTATGCTGGTTTTTGCCTTAAAGTCTATTTTATCATAAATTAATATTACCACTCCTGCTTGGTTTTGATTATCACTAGCTTGATTTTTGTTTCTGTGCGTAATTCTTATAGACAGCATATTGAAAGATCCTGCTTTCTTATCCATTCTACTCCTCTCTGTCTCTTGACTAGAGCACTTAATCCATTGAGGTTTAGTGTAATTATTGGTAGGTATGAACCAATTGCAGTCCTTTTACTGTGAGTTTTTTGTTTGTTTTCTTTGGTGTGTAATGCTGCTATTTTCTTTGTTTCATATATTTTTATGTGCTGAGTTCATTTTGTTTGTACATTTAAAAAATCAATTTCTTCACTGCTTTTGTTTTAATATTTACAAAAATTTATGGTTTTCCTTTTTCTTAATTTGATGTGAAGGCATATTAATTTTCTTAGAGGTTACCCTACAGTGTTATTAATTTCTTTCCCAGTTCAAAGCAGTCTGCTTTATCTTGAAGTCTTCTAGATGTCCTTGCCATTTGGAATTCTGCAACTATAATTTTCCATGTTTTTGCTTTTTACTTGTCTTAATTATATATTGATGTTGCTGATTCCATACATTCAATCTTGCAAGTTTGATTTACTTTGGATACTTCTATATCTGAATTGAATTCTAGATGGTGTTGCCATGTATGTCAATCTCCAGTTGTTTTCTGCTGTTGTTGGTCCTCTGTCAAAGAATTCCTTTTAGTATTTTTAGTAAAGTTGCTTTGGATATTACAAATTCCTTTAATTACTGTTTATTTGGAAACATTTTAATTTTGCTGTTGTATTTGAGGGACAGTTTTGCTGGTACATGATTCTTGATTGGCAATATTTTTCTTTCAGAGTTTTGTATATGTCTCCCCACTGCCTTCTTTCTTGCATGGTTTCTGCTGAGAAATTTGAGCTTAATCTTACTGGTTTTATTTTGTAGGTATCTTTTCATTTTTCTCAAGCTGCTTTCAGGATTCTTTCCTGTCTTTGATTTTGGAGAGTTTGGTTATGATATGTCTTGACAATTTTCTTCTAGGGTCTGTCATGTTTGGGGTTCATTCAGCTTCTTGAGTATTTATCTTCTCATCTGTCATGATGTGAAGTAAGTTTTCTTCCAACAGCTCTTTGACAATCTCTTCTGTGCTTTTGTTTCTTCCTGTTCTGGAATTTCAGTCACTCATAGTTTATTCCTCTTCATGTTGTCCCACATGAATCTTAGACTTTCTTCAGATGTTTTTCACTTTTTTCTGATTGATCTTTTAGCTTACTGGTATTGAGTGATTTAGGTTCAAGCTAATTCGGGCTTCCATTGATTCAAATCTACTCCTTAGCTCTTTCAATGTATTTTCCATTTCTGAAATCTTAGTACTAATCTTCTGGATTTCTGTTTTCAGGTTCTGTATTGTATTGTCTCCAGTCCTTTATATAGTTTGATGGTTCCTGTAGTGCTTTTTTGAATTCTTCCTTTTTTTCCTTGACCCCTCTATCAATCCTTTGGCGGTACATAAATACCATTCTCTTGAATTCTTTCTCATGTGGTTCCAATGCCTTTTATTCATCAGATGTTTTTTCTAACTCTTGGTCACTTGTTTCTTCATGTGAACAGAAACTTTTGCTTTTGAGACATTGTGCTTTGTTGTATTTGTATTGCATTGATGATTGTATGATGCCTCCTAGTGGCTGTGCTCAAGATATGAGCTTGCACACCATTCTCTGTTCACTGTTTCTGCAGTTGAAGTCAACTTAGTAGATGTTTATTGTTGTTGATATGGTGGATAGCACCTGGTATTGACTCTTACCCAATGGGTGGAGCCATAGAAAGCAATGGTTGTGACTGGGCTGTGTGGACACTGTTGCCTTCTTAATCTCTGTGAGCCACAGGTGTATTTCTGCAACACCAATATGTTTTCTCGTCTCTGAAGCCACTCACAAAAGCTCAAGTGGCTGTGCCCATCTGGTTGGTGGGTACAGGTCAGCACTCTCTCCTTTTTTGTCACATCCACTCAGCTTTCTCTCCTAGTAAACATTCATTCCACTTCTCTATCCCTTCATATAAAGCTCAGAGTCCCAGAAAAATCATCTGCATCTGTTTCATTTAGTTTTCCATATCTTTGTTGTAGAGGGCCCATACACTCTTTCTGCTTAGTCCGCCATCTTGCCACCTCTCCCACCTATAGACATTTCTCAATTGTATAATATAATTTGAAATTCCAGCTGCCCCAAACTCGTCCCCTCATTTGGAAGTCCCAGGATCTTAAAGTTGTCAGGATGTTCAGTTCTGTTGAGTGTTCTAGTAGCATTAAATTAATTTTATTAGTTATAAATTAAAGGACTGTGTCCTTTAATTATTTGACCAGGTGATACATAAGGCATTTGGTTTCTTATCAGCTCTTTTCTTTCTTTGTGCCTTTAGCATGGTGTATTGCATTTCTGTGGATTTAGCGTCCTGGCCCCTCAAATCAATTTTGCGCCTGAGTTTGCATCCGAAGAAGAAAGAAAGGGAATGGTGGCATCCTGGGCCCAGAGGCTGAAGACCATCTGGACAGAGGAGCCCATCAACTGCACTACACCGTGGTACTTTGGGCAGTAACACTTTGTGCCTTGCACACAACACAAGAGCACCATGATACAGATCCAAGCAAATGCAAGGAAGAGATGCTGCTGTAATGAAATAAAATTACAAAAGAGCTTCTGGATATGTTTCAAGATGTTCGTGGATGAGTGTCTTCAGGATTCTGTACCACCCGATTACAGTCAAACCAGACACATGTGCATTTGCATTTCTGTCTGATTCATCAGGAAGCCATTCTTTTGAGGATCAGTGGGTCAGGGTTTGTTGTGCATTTGGGGAGCAGAGGTTTCTCAGCATTTCCATCATTGCTGTCTTATATGCTTGCAGTAGCAATGGATGATCCATCATTAGGGAAGCATACTTGCTTGACTTGATATGTAGCAAGGAAATCTTCGGTGATCTTGGGAAGCCATGTCTTCTTGTCCAGATCCCACCTCGAGGGGGTGTCAGTTGGCTGCTATCCTAATGAATTGACTTCTCTATTAGGATCTTTCTGATGTCACCCTCTTCCCTGTCTCTGTACAGTTCTGACATTCACAATTGTTCATCAAACTCATGTTTCCCATTCAGGCTGTTGGTGTTCATACTTGCTACCCAATCCAGGGCAAAGAGACTGAGAGGATACCAAAGTCAAGGGGTTCCAAAATCTCACCTCCTTTTGTATTTTTACTTTTTCTTGGTTTCTGGTATGCTAATGCTTTCTTAGGTATCCTGGACTAATGTTTCCCTCGCCAATCTTCTTCTGTCTCTGGAATTTCTCAGAGTGTCCAATCCTTTTCGAATGGTACCTGACTATCACTCAATGTTCTCAAATCCACCATGTAAACTATTGGGTTCTATTTCCACACCTGCACCCTCATCCCTTAGCTCCATAAATGGCAGGAATATTCATTCCACATGCAGGTCCAACACCTGGAGCTCATCTCGGCTCACCTTAATTTCTGATTTTTAAAACCTTATTGCTGAAAAGAAATTCGGCATCACAAGGACAGTGAGAATTGTGCTTTAATAGATAAATGAATAACCATGGCCCCCACCAGCCCTCCACCCTATTTGAGGGGTTGTTGTTGTTGTTAAGTGTTATCAAGTGAGTTCTGACTCATAGTGATTCTGTATAGGGTTTCCAAAGAGCAGCTGGTTTCCAAAGAACCAACCTTGAAGTCCAGCACATTAACCCACAGCGCCACACTGGGTCTCCTATTTGAGTAGAGGTTGGTATAAAAGAAATGAACTTAAGTTGCTCCAGGTAAAAAAAGGGTTAAAAGGTTGAAGCAGTGCGAGCAGCCAGAGAGCTCAGTCTGTGTCTTGTACCAAAAGGAGAGGGGAGATGTGTATGCCTCATGAGGGAGAAGAGGAGCCCCAGACATGGTGGTGAGGTGGGGATGTAGGAAAAGATGAAGTGTGAGGAGTTTGGTGTTAAGGATGGTATGGGAACCTTGGGGACAGCCCATTTCAGCCCCAGGTAGCCCTCTGCTCCATCAGTTGTGTGCCAAGATCATTTAATTTTGCCCTTAGAGGAACGGGTCACATAAGTCATGCCTTAAAGTCACTTGGATCCTACCAGTCTAAGAGTACTTGGCCTGAGATCCTGGGAAATGGTTCCATCCAGTTGGGAGCGATCAGATAATCATTCACAAACATACCTGATGCTTAGGCCAGGCAACTCCATTTATAGGAAGGGACTCTAAGGATATAAACTAAATGGAAAATAAATTATGTAAATTAATGGTGGGTTTTTGGTGTGTGTGTGTGTGTTTTAACCAAACACTGTTGTTGTTGTTAGTGCCATCAAGTCAGTTCTGACTCATAGCGACCCTGTATAGGGTCTCCAAGGAGCAGTTGGTGGGTTTGAACCACCAACCTTGTGGTTAGCAGTGCAGTGCTGATCCTACAGTTAATTGTTTAAAGGAACTGGGGTTTTTTACAGAACTAACTATATGAAATGAAATTGACAACAAGTGGACAGGTTAGACAGAAAACTCTGAGGACGGCGAGTTTGTGTAAGTGGAGGAACAACTTAGACAGGCAGGCTGAGAATGGCTGAACAGCTTCGAGAACGTCATTACCGTCACTGAATGGTACATGCAGGAATTGTTGAATTGGCTTAT